GCTTTATATTTCCCTCCGTGGAATCTCCACCTGCCAGCTCTTGGCCTCCAGTTAGTGGCAGGAGGAAGTGAAGGAGATGGCAGTCCTTGCCCTTACATATCGTTTGGTCTTCAGGGAGAGGCCAGCAGCCAGAGAGGACAGAAAGCTAAATATGAGTGCCTTGCATGCCAAGGTTGTACATCTAGGAAAACATAACCCCTGTAAAAGGAAAAAAGCCTATAAAATATTCATCTGCAGGGATTCCCCTCCCTTCCCAGCATTTTAAATAGAAGGAACCACTTCAAATTTTACAGCTAAGGAGCTGACTTGGCACAAGAACTAAACAGTGCAATATGGAGGCCTAAAAACCCCTCAATTGCAAAGAAGAAACAGATGCCAAAACTTTGCCAGTTTTCCATCTCAAAAAATCCACTAATCTCATTTTTTTTGGCAAAACCATAGCAGAAAATAAAGTGTTTTTTCAGCCTGGCACACATTCCCCCTCCCCCCCCCACCTCCCACATGGTTCAATGTAGTGGCTGAGAATTCTTTGGGGTTTGACTTTCATTAAAACAATCCAACTTCATTTCAGGAAAAAAAAGCCTGACCTCTTACCCAAACACCTCCAACTTCTCCTTCCCTCTCTTCATAAGCCCTCTTTGACTGTGTAGGGGTTTGGCCGAGACAGGGACAAGATTGACAAGAGTGATTGCCCAGTCTACCCTTGGGAGCTAGTGCGCTGTCCGACCGGCGTGGTGGGTGGAAGAGAAAGGAGTGAACAAAAAAAGATGGGACTCACCATCCTTCTTATGCATGGTAGGGCTCAGCTACTGTCTCCATGGAAGGATTACTCTCCCAAGTCAGGCAAGGGCATGAGGCTCATAGGAGGAGTGATCGAGGGTTTAGAACTGCGTTGGCAGACCTGCTTGAGTGACCACGTGCAACCTAAATCCTAGACTTCTACATCTAGAACCAGAAGGGACCTAAGAGGCCACATAGTCCAATTCTGTCACTTTACGAAGAAGAAATGATACTGAGAAAGGACGGCACGCTTATACCAAGACTCTTTCTTCTCCGTTTGGGGCAGCTAGATGGTGCAGGGCATACAGTGCCGGGCCTGGAGCCAGGAAAATCTGAGTTCTAATCTGGCCTCTTATTTACTTTGTGACCCTGGATTCCGTTTGCCTCAGTTTTCTCATCTGTAACATGGGGATAATAATAGCTCTTCCTTCCCAGGGCTGTATGAAATGAGATAATAATTATAAAGCACTTAGCACAGTGCCTGACACATAGTAAGTGCTATATAATACTTTATTAATATTATTATTATTAATTTAGAGAGGAAGGAGACAAGGGGGAAGCAGAAAATATGATCCAGTGTATCCAAAGTTTATCAAAACTTCGCATGTGATGAGTAATAGCTGAACAAGTTGTGGTATACGATTGTATTGGAATCCTACTGTGCTGTAAGAAATGATGAGCTGGTTGATTTTAGAAAAAACATGGAAAGGCTTGCATGAAATAATGAAGAATGAAATGAGTAGAACCAAGAGAACGCTGTACACATTAACAGCAATATTGTTTGAAGAACTGTGAATGACCGAGTTATTCTGAATATTATAAATCCACTGCAAAGAACCTATGAAGGAAGATGCTATCCATATCCAGAGAAAGAACTGATAAACAGAAGTATGCATAGTATGGTTTTACACACAAACATACACACACACACACACACACCTGTGTCAAATGATGACCTTCTCTAATGTGGACTGGGGAGGGAGGGAGGTATACAGTTTGGAACTTAAAATGTGACAAAAAATTAAATAAAAAGGAAGCCACAAATAATTAATTTCATTCAATTTCTAGGTATCTTCAACTTTTTAATATGAAGAATTTTCATCTCCAGACTACTTAGTAATCTTGATAATAAGTAAAGGTGGGATGGGAAGTGGGAAGGTGGGGGAAAAGATAAGGTAACAGGAACAGAGTAAAAAGACAGGCTGAGAAAGAAAATAGTGAGTAAAAATAAGATGAAGGGAAATTCACAAATAGTAATTATAACTTTGAATGTGAATGGGATATTTATAACAGCTCTCTTTGTGGTGGCAAAGAACTGGAAACTGCAGAGATGCCCATGAATTGGGAAATGGCTGAACAAGTTGTGGTATATGGTTGTGATGGAATATTACTGTGCTATGAGAAATGATGAGCTCAATGATCTTAGAAAGGCATGGAAAGACTTACACGAAATAATGAAGAGCAAAGTGAGCAGAATCAAGAGAACATTGTATACAGTAATAGCAATATTGTTTTAAGAAAGGCTTTGAGAAACTAAGTGATTTTGGTTATTGTAAACAGGCAAATTAAAAATAAAGGATATATGAAGAAAGACGCTAACTGTATCCAGAAAGAGAAGGGATAAATAGAAGTATGTATAGAATAATTATACATACATACATACATACATATGTGTGTGTGTGCATGTGTGTGTATACATATATATGTGTATATATATATATACCTATTTCTGTTTAATGGTAGCCATCTCTAGGGTGAGAGTCAGGGAGGAATGAAGGAAAAAAAGGAAAAAAAATTTGTGATAACTTTGTTATATATTTAAAAGGAATAACAAGTTGAGCATAGTAGCCTTGCAGTTTCATGTACCATCATCTTTTTTATTGTATTATGTTATGGAAATGCTTATTTTATTCCACAAATTAAAAATAAATTTAAGAAAATAAGTAAGCGGATTCTTCCCCAGGGGAATTCTGAACTCCTCCATTCTTTGTTTGGAGTGGTAAGTGAAGAGCATCCAGATGCCTTAGAATTTCTATTCTAGAATCACAGAACCCTAACACCTGAGAGTTGGAAGGAAGTCTTCTTAGCGGTCATTCTTCAAGCGCTTTCTCTTCTACCTGTCGTAACGGAGCACTGCTCTACATAAGCTTAACAACATTAACAACATTACACATCCTGTGGAAATACAAGCTCTAGAACTATCAGACAAAACATAAATTATTTTTATTCTGTAATACTGAGGAAGAAAAACGGACTGCTGCTGGGATACAAACACAACTTTGACACCAAGTCTGTGACTGCAGGCACGTCTTAATCTCTGAGCACTTCGACTTCTTCATCTAATAAAGTACGGAGGATACGTACCCTTCTTTTCAAACAATGTCATTACAAACTGCAAAATAGTATATAAATGTCAGTTAGTATTATAAGTGTTAAAACAAAAGGAAGTTTCTGGCTAAAGCTAAATTAACCACAACAACCAATGCCATCTAGTGGAAAGAACACTGGTCTTAGAATCAGAGGATTTGGTCTTGAGTAAGTTACTTCAACTTTCTGAGACACACTTCTCTCAAATGTTAAAAGAGAGGTTTTGGTTATGTGGTCTCTATAGCCTATTAACCTCATGCTGGTCTACTGTGTATTTTAACGACACTCTTTATACCCTCTAATACTCCAAAGGCTGTGTGGTCTCCTTGATGTGGGAAACTCCCTCCAACAATGTAGATTGCGGCCCCTCACAGGCCTGCTCATCTGGCAAGACTTATCTCGGTTTTCCCATAAATCTGAATTAGATGTTCACCCAATATTTGAATGCTCTTCTTTATGTTCTCTGGCTATTACATGGAAGGGGTAAGGAATAAGTCATATATATATCTTTACATGTAAGACAATATGTCAATATACAAGAATACATAGGTCGAATCAGTCAATACTTAAAGAAATTAGTCAGGCTATTCACTGGAAGGTTAAATACTGAAAAAATAATTTGGCCACATAATGAGAAGACAGGACTCACTGGAAAAGACCCGATGTTGGGAAAGATTGAAGGCAAAAGGAAAAGTGGGCAGCAGAGGATGAGACGGATAGATAGGGTCGTGGAAACAGCAAACATGAACTTGGACAGACTTTGAGAGAGAGTGGAGGATAAATGTGCTATGGTCCATAGGATCACAAAGAATCAGACGTGACTGAACAAGAATAAAAATAAGAAATATAGGTAGTTATAAAATGTATAGATACAACACCTACTATATGCTGGCACTGTACTAAGTGCCTTTTATAAATATTAATTCATTGATCCTCAAACCCTGAGAGGTGCTTTTAGTATCCCCATTTTTTCAGGTGAGGAAACTGAGGCAAACAAAGGTTAAGTGACTTGTCAGGGTCACAGAGCTAGTAAATTTCTAAGGCCATATTTGAATTTAGGTCTTCGTGACTCCAGGCCCGATATTCCACCCACTGTACCAGATGGATACCGATAGAACACACAGGCTGGCCATGGGTTCTTCTTTACTCTTATTATGTGACTTGCTAATTTTTAAAAATCCTACATTTCTCTGATGACATACTTTGTCATGCTTTTCATATAATTCCTCACTTATAATAACGTTACAGCCTACTCACATCCTCTATGTGATTATCCATTACCCTCTGGGTGGCTCCCAACTCCCAGTTCTTCAGAGTATGATATATCTATAGCATTTTTCTAAGTTACAAATTCATCGACAGGATAACATGGTATTCAAATGTTACGACTATTTAAATTTTTTAAATATGCCAAACACAATCAACAATTGTCAGCTTAGTCAAATGATTTAAACCAATGATTTCCCGATTACCAAAAAACAGCACATATTAAAATCTACTTTTTCTATATGTAGCTTTGTTTCTCCCTTACAGGAAATTTAAGTGCTTGGAGCCATTTTTTCAAAGTGTTTACTTTCCAATTCTAGATTGCTTGTCCATACTATAGGACACCAGATGGTGGGCAGTCTTCTCTATAGAATCTCCCATGTTGGCAAGTAGTGATGATATCTTGCTTTTTAAGAATATGTCATGTGAATGATTTTACCTTGGTAATGGTCAAAAACATGCCATAGACAGACTATGAGAATTATATATGCTTCAGGGCTCCCACCATCACATTAGTGGGGCTAGAATGGAATGAACTCTGAGGTTAAGAGTTCCTCGAAATAATATTGAGTTCCCTTCCCAAATACCTGGTGAGTGAAGTTTCGTAGTTGAAGCTGCCAATCTTTTAGGCGATGAGACAGCAGGTTTATTCGCTTCTTGATCTTTCTGCACTTCCTTCTTTGATCCTATGGAAATGAAATGAATGGACAGTCAATTATATCTGAAACTATAATATCAGCTGTCGGTGGAGAATAGAGCTGAATAAAAACCAAACCCTCTAAAATACTATTTGGATGACTTGTTGTATGGACATCGCCACCTTTCCTTTGGCAAACACTCTGTTTTTTGTACCAGAAATGATTTATTTTCTGGCAGTCAAAAGGCCAAGTAAACTGCTGACTCTGATCTAATGAAAGAAACCTCCATGTCTGGAGGCTACTGCTACCCGAGTGACCCTGTAGATTTAGCTGGGGATTAAAATTTCCTCTCTTCATTCATGGGCCCTCTTTCTCTACCAATGTATTTCCAGAAAACAAAGGCTAATAAAACTCTGCAAACATAATTAGTAATGACTTAAACATCACTGAAGTCCTCAATTCACCTGAGATTCCCTCTGATTCTGATTAATTTCCATAGTATCAAGTCTTCAGAGATAATTTTGGGTAACTCATCTGTGGCTGAAGGCACCACCTCAACACAAATTGCTTAAATATAGACAAAATTGGCTTCAGCAGAATGGGAGGACATCAGATCCCCATCCTACTCTCTTGTGTCCCATCTGTATGTGGAGATAATTGAGTGTGTCTGGTAATCACTAACATTAAGAGGCAGTATGGTAGTGGATGTGGCACACTGGAGTGACAGAACCAGAATCAGGAAGACTTCAAATCTGGCCTCAGACACTTACTAGCTATGTGACCCTGGGCAAGTCACTTAACCCTGTTTGTCCCACATTCTCATCTGTAAAATAAGCTGGAGAAGGAAATGCCAAACTACTCCATTATCTTTGCTAAGAAAACCCAAATGGGGTCACAAAGAGTGAGACGCAACTGAAGCGACCAAGCAACAACCACAAATGGTAGTGGATAAGATACTAGACTTGAAGACCTAGGTTTAAATGTTACTTCAGATACTTACTAGCTGTGTAACTCTAGGCAAGTCATGTCTCTAACATATTAACAACATAACCCTGGGCAAGTCACTTAACTGCTCCACCTCACCTCTAAGACTCTGAATGACAGACAGGTTGCTTTTCTGAATCCGTGGGGTGCATTTCCACATTGTGAGTGCCTCACACCAATGATATAATGGGTCCAAATCAAAATATAAAGAGAGACCATATTCTGCATTAGTTTTCTCACCTGCAAAATGGGGGATTAGAGTTAATGATTTCTAAGGCCCCTTCAAGCTCTAAAGCTATAATCCTATGGCAAGGGGCACAAGAAACAATACAGCCCAACAATAATCAGTGGTTCTTTTTGATTTTTAAATTGTGTGGTGGTTCTTCACATTAACTTTCTGTTTAGTGCAATCAAGAAAGACTAAGCTCTGAAGATCAGAATACTGACAAAATGAAATTTCCCCAAAGAAATGGAAACATATGTATGTGTCATCTTCAAACCTGAGAGCTGTTGGCCTGACTCATAGAATTATTAAAATCTAATTCTGTAATCATCAATGGACTATGCATTATTTTTTCCCTTTTCCCCCATAATCTTTTGGTTACCATTTTCCCTGTTCTCTTGGAATCCCTCCTACTCACTTATCTGACTGCCCCCCTTTCTTTCTATTCACACACTTATTCCAAATGCCCATGTGTTCTTTCACAATTACCCTAATGAGCACACAGTTCTGATACTGTTCACCCCTCTCAAATCTGAGTTTTTCTTGGTTTCCATTCTTGCAACTCTGCTCTTGCTTCCTTGCTTACCTGACTATGTTTCATTCATTCATGGTGAATATGTTCTCTCTTCATCTTTTGGTCTGGACCCATTATATCACTATATCATTATATTACAATGTAGAAATGCATCACACTGATTCAGAAAAGCAGCCTGTCATTCAGAGTCTTAGGGGTGAGGGGTGAGCAGTTAAGTGACTTGCCCAGGGTAATATCATTAATATGTTAGAGGCAAGACTTGAACCCTGACTCCAAGGCTGTCCCTCTAATTACTACGGCATACTGCCCCTCCAAATGCATTTGTTAATATGAATGACATATAAAAACATAACAAAACATATGTATACAGAAATTTACAGCTTACAAAGCACCTTATGTGAATTATCTCCTTTGATCTTCACAACAACACTGCAAGGGAGGTAATGCAGGCATTGTTGTTGAGTTGTTTTTCAGAAATGTTAGACTATTCGTGGCCCCATTTTGGGTTTTGGCAAAGATACTGGAGTGGTTTGCCTTTTTCAGCTCATTTTACAGATGAGGAAACTGAAGCAAACAGGGTTAAGTGACTTGCCCAGGGTCACACAGTTGAATGTCCAAGGTCAGATATGAACTCACGTAGATTTGAACTGCAGGAGAGGGCTTGTACCACTTTGCTGCCCTTAATGCAGGCATTATCTTCCTCTTACAAAAGAGGGCATAGAATTTCAGTAACAGGCCTAAGGTTACATAATTAGTATGAAGAGTGTCTCAAGTCTAGGTCTTTTTAATTCAAGTCCTAGGTTTTTCCCACTATGCCAAGTTTTTTTTCTGGGACAGAACCATATATGTGCCATATAAAAAAGTTCAATTGAGAAACAGTACATTCTTCTCTTTTCCTCCCTTTTCCTTCCTTTTCCCTCTCCCCTTCTCTAATCCCATCAACAACCACAGACATTTATTAAGCACCTACTTTGTGCCAGGGACCTTGAAGCATCTTTGTTTTTAAGGAACAGCATGGTATTTTTTTTTTTTTTTTGCTGGAAGGGATCATTATTTTAATCTTTTAAAATATTAGTTCAGTTGCAAAATGAAGCCTAATTGGTTGATTTCCTCCATGATGGAGGATCTCTCCAAGTAAGTGATAATCAGAAACTTCTATCACAGGGGTTCTCAACCTGAGGTATGCATACCCTTGTGGGGTAAGAAAAGTTTATCAAAGCACATTTGAATATTTGTCAAATTAATAAATTATCCTGTGGAAATTAATTCCTTTCTTTTATTTCTTATGTGCATATGCCAAGTGATGTTGGACAGAGTGTTAGACTTGGAGTCACAAAGGCCTAAATTCAAATCCTGTGTCAGACACTTGCTTGTTGTGTGACCCTGGGCAAATCACTTAATCCGTCTGCCTTAGTTTCCTCATCTGTAAATTGGGCTAATAATAGCACCTACATCTCTCAGGGTGTTAGGTTAAAATGAAATAATATTTAACAAACATCGAAGTGCTATAAAAATCCTAATGGCTATCATTGTTATTGCTGTTCTTGTTAAATACATGGCAAATTCTAAAATTTATTTCCTTTCAGGCATTCTTAACTTGATAGACTCCAAGTGATCCATGGATAGATAGATTTTAGGGAGTTTGTTAACTTGGATAGGAAAAAAATTACAATCAGTCTTCTGCTTCTGCAGATAACATTCCTAGAAACAGCACAAAAGTGAAAAATGTGAATGCTGATACATCGAACCTCCAGAAAAGAGAGGGTGAGGTTCCCTCAACCACCAGAAACTGGGATCTTCTGCTAGAGATTGCTGAAAATACATTTTTATGCATGCAATTCTTTATACCAAAAAATTAATTCTGATGATATTTACTTTTCTTACAATATGCGCTGTGTTAATAACAACATAGTAACCATGAAATAACCCCTGAAATGTAGTGCACAAAATAAAATTGGTAACATGGAAAACATTTTTTCTTGCTAGTAATCCCCTAGAATTCTATAACCTTTTGTGCTAACATATCAATAAAAAAATAAATAAAAATAAAACCAACATTGTTTCTGGACAATATCCACTTTTCATAACACATGAAATCTACAGTATCATAAATACTGTACAGCAAACAAACTTCTTAAAGCTAAAACATTTTTCAACCTGAATCATACCTTCCATCCATACGTGTCAGATGGTGGTGTGAGGGCATTGTTCTAAATACCACACTGCTATAAACCTCTCTACCTTGGTTGCCCTCTGAAAACCACGGGAGAAGTTGCTGGGCCTTTAATCGCTGCTGTCAGAATACATCAAGCCTGGTGAGGTCTACATGTTACCTCCCGTGCTCCATCTTTCATGGCTAGTGAATGGCATTGGAGGGCGTGAAGGAGGCACTAGCTTGAAATAATATATCCTAGTAGGATAGCAGCCACTTCATAAACTTGCCTTCATCTTGCCTCTCATTTTTCCCCCTCTATTGTCCTCAAATGTGTGAGGTTGCCAACCCAAAAGTGAAAATGAGGTTACTAAAAAAAAATCATGCAAATGCATAAAGTCAGGAAAGTTAAAAATGTTGAGGATTGGGGCAGCTAGGTGGGGCAGTGGATAGAGCACTGGCCCTGGAGTCAGGAGGACCTGAGTTCAAATCCGACCTCAGGCACTGGACACTTACTAGCTGTGCAACCCTGGGCAAGTTACTTAACCCTGATTGCCTCGCCAAAAAACCCAAAACAAAAAACAAACAAAAAAACCCAACCCCTCAAGATTTTGAGGATTGACTGTACATCTCTTTTTCAACATATTTCATTTCCTTTGTAGTCCTACGCGCTTTGTTTTCTGCAATTAAAAACATTCTAAGAAGGGTTCTATAGGCTTCACAAGACTGTCAAAGAGAAAAGAAAAAGAAAAAAGACTGCCAAAGAGTCAGTTCGTTGGTAAACATTTATTAAATGCCTACTATGTGCTAGGCACTGTGCTAAGCACTGGAGATACAAAGACAGGCAGTAGACAATGCCTGCTTTCAAGGAGCTCACAATATAATAGGGAAAGACAATACATTTAAAAAAATGCTGAAAAGTAGGAGGGGTGGGTGGAAAAGGAGGCTCGTGGCTCAAGAAAGGACTAGGACCCCTGCTTTAGTTTTCCTGGACTACAGAAATATAATATTGAATAGGTGGTTTTGGAAGGGTTACTGAAAGCCAGGGAGTTCAGGACCAGAAAATGTCAGGCATCTCTGCTTTATCAGCTCAGAAAGGCTCACAGTGCCATGTAGTCAAGCGTTTCTCTTGGCTCCAGGGTCATTCAGCCAGT